TATGTTGACCGATGACCGATTGCCGATACAAAAGACCACAAACGAGCCATCAAGCCCATCTCACTTGCAATAGCTTACGTTTTATTAAGTGCCTAAGCTGGTTGACGAGGTTCTAGGTTCATCCGGGTGCCTTGCATGCATTCCCGCCGTTGCACTCAACGGCGTAGTGGAGAACTTTATTCGGGGCCCTGGAAGGAAGATGGCAGTTTGGCAGACGGCGAAATTTCCCACTCATATTCGCAAAACTCGCATCTTTCACGAAAGGAAACTCCCCGACCGGAGCAGACTGCCAAACAGAGACAGATTTGGCAGCATACGGAGAAGGTTTCTGCAACAGATCGGGAAAGAGCCAATCGCACGGAGCTCTCTCCGGAGACCCACCGGCCAAACCCTTGCCGAACGCCGGCGGTGAAAGCCCCGGACGTGTTGCACAGCCAGCCTTTGGTTCTTCCCCTTTCCGTTGCCTCTTCAACCCATCACTCACATATCCCCATGTCTACGCATTTCATGGCACCTCTCCACAAGTCTTGCAGATCAATCGTCAGCAAAAACGAACGTGGCCACAGCTACAGCCGTCCACGTGCTCATATTTGTGTGACGTTTACAACGGGTCTTGAGTGTTCTACACGAGACGTGCTGATCAATTTCTTTCAGAAACTTTTTCCATCGCGTGTTCTACTGGCTTCGAGAAGCAGGAAAGTACCTGACATAACCGGATGGGGTCTGGCCGAGGTTGAAGTATGGAATAGATGGTGTTATGGTGACACGCGACTAAACCTGCCCAGCCAAAAAAAGAGTCTCCGGCCACGGCAGCAAGGAGCCGATCTCATTCGCTTGTTAGTTTCAAGCCGAATATCTCACCACCCGGCCAGAGATGACTGATCATATTTCCTTCCGTTTCTTCTCACCCACGTGGTGTGCATCATGCCTCTCTTATTCCCAAACAAGGCACCCTTCACTTTTACCTTCTCTCCCAGGGCAGACCGCGATTTGTGGGCAACCCATGCAGTACACTCACACCCCAGTCTCACCGATCGCCAACCCATGCTTCACCGGTATGCGCTCACCGGGCTAGGCCCTGCAGTTTGTTCTTTTCAATCTTTTTTTCAGTCTTCTTTAGGGCTACTAGTACGGATATGGGACCCGGATAGTGGAGTGAGTGTCTTGATGCCGGCTGCGGCGGGCGCAGCAGGATTACCTTTCTGGCACCCTTTTGAAGGCGGTCTCCTTTCTTTCTTGTTTGTCAATGTCTCTGTCTTAAGCCTTGGCTCGGGGATGGCGATGTGCTACTGCATGAAACAGAACCGGTCAGTGAAAAAAGATACTGGATGGTCCCCGGAGGCTTGGAAGAGACGTCGACGCCGAGGGGCTGGATGGAGACAGACCGACAGCTCGAGTGAGCCTTCTTGCCAGCAGGCTCTCGTGGTACGGTTCACCGCCATAAGATCAAGGGCGGGTATATGAAGAGGGAAGCCCTAGTCGGTGAATTGGCTCGATTTGGTTTCTTTCGACCCAGACTAAAGGCAGTTGCCGAGGAGAGTTCTTTGTTCTGAAAACAAGCCATCCCAAAACCAGACAGCTTCATCTCTTTTCAGGCCGAGGGTACATACCACCAGCTACCTTCATTCATCATTCTCACACTATCAATTTGTCTCTCACTTCAGCTCATATCATATCAACCACTCTCATAGCCTATTCATCCCTCCAAGTTGGAACAAAATGGCACCCTCTGCTCTACCGGAAGAGCCCCAGATGTACGCATCAAGCATTTCAGAAATGGCACGCGGCCGCAAGTTCTACCCTTCAAACAAGTTCATCATCAGCTGCGGCACCGTCACAATCGACATGCGGGCACGGCGCGTGCTGCTGATCTATAACAAGAGACACGCTATCTACCAGATGCCCAAGGGGCGGAAAGACATCGGCGAAGACCTTCTTGCAGCAGCGCTGCGCGAAACGCGCGAGGAGACGGGCGTTACGGTGAAGCCCGTCACCTTGAGACTCAGCACGAGAGCCACGCCTGCGGGTGGACCCTCTGGTGCCCCGGAGGTGTCTGAGGAGATCACTGACACGGAACCGATCGCTGTGTGTCACTACCCTGACCCGGCTACTGGCGCTATGAAAATGGTGTTTTACTTTGTTGCGGAGGGGAATTGTGATCTTGGACCCGAGGGCTGGACGGGAGAGGACAGAGTCAAGTTTGACGTGAGCTGGGTCGATGTTGATGAAGCTGCGGACAAGTTGGCTTTCAAGGAGGATGGCATGGTCGTCACCAAGGCTCTGGAGGATTTGAGAAAATCGGGGTATGATATCTGATGTTAGGGGGCGCTTTGTGTTTCTATTGGATCAGGCAAAGTTGGGCGTTGGCCATTGGAAAACGGGAGGCAGGATTCGCGTGGGGTAATTTGACTTGAACACGACGCGCAGGCATACGGTGTTGTCATTGTCGGGATCTTCTACTTTCTCTAGGTTTGGGAAAAAGTCAAGAAGACAATGGAATTAGGCTAGATTGTTCACAGGAATCAGTTTTTGATTGAAGTCTGTTTGTTCCGGCCATTTTGATGAATCTCAGCAAATTAGCCTGATGAGCTCATGAGAGCTACCAGCCCAATGTCTGGAGGTTCACCCCGAGGGCTTCCCGACCCGTTGTCTGCGAAGAAGAAGGAGTCTAAGTGGAAGAAAAGAGAAAACATGAGGAAACGGTATCACGACCGCGGACCAACTCCCGAACGCAGCAGGAGTCTGACAGCTTGGCGGTGACAGGGGCTTCCCATCCATCTCGGATGCATTATCCCAGTCTCCCCGGCAACATACTTACCCTAAATTGCGATCGATTCATGGGAAGAAATTTCAATCTGACAAACCAGAACGCTGGGTCTTGCAGGGCGGGGTGGGCGGCGATGGATGCAGGGCTGCGGCGGTCCAGCCCACCGCTGCCCGCGGCCGCTTCCCTGTCGTCAAGACATCTGATGGAATAGAGATGTGCAGTTGAGAATCGTTGAGAGTTATTTGGTTCAATTGCATTTCAGCCCGTTTCATGATTGGTTTACTGTCACTTCACCGCGTGTATGTCTCGTCGTGCCGTCCCTTGGCGTCTCTCGGTTTCATGAGTACGATTCATTCACCGTAATGGAATCGAGGAAAGACAGAAAGAATAGAGACAACATGGTTGACCGAGAAGGTTTAGATGACTAGCTGCATGAAGCTTTACCTTAGCGAGTCTTTCTTGACTAGCAGGCGCAATTCGTGTCTCGGGTCGACCGTGACTGCCGATGCCGGCCGGCGCCGGCATTCTTCGACTAGTGGGGCCGATCATACCCACCCTTGGCGGGGTCGACCCTTTTGCCGAATTGATTTTCATTGAAGCAAGTGGTGACATCACCCCCATGAAACCCCCCTCCCACTTGGAAGTCCCAAGCTCCTGATGGGGCCCTCATTGCTACCCCTCCATGGAGACAATCGAGGACCGCGGCTGTCCCCCTCTCTTGCCAATCGCGAACAATGAAATCGTCCAAACAGAAGGGGCGCAGAAAGCTTCCGTTAGCTTCGTCTGTACTGCAAACGTCAGCGAAACGGAGCAGCTCTTAACCCCGCCAAAACGCAGCTTAATCCGTCATTGACTCTCCACTTCGAGGAGCCCGCACCCGCAACGTACATATTATTACCTCCACTTGACGTTTGAAGCATAATAAATCCAATGTCTTCCCACACTGCCGAAGCCGCGCGCTCCGCTTCCCAAGCTTTATCTAGATCGTCGTCCCGGATTCCCAAACAACCTCACTCCCCCACCCCTGCGATAGCTTCCCGACCAACAACCACAACAACACCAAAGAGCTTTGCGACTTGCTACAGCTCAACCACCACATCGACACCCCTTACACAGCAATTTCACAAGTCATTCTCGACACAAGCCGCCAAGATGTCGACTATGCCTGCTCAGCACGGCCACAGCGAGGGATGCTGCAACATCCCTCCTGTCGTCTCCAAGGGCTACGATGCCAAGGGCAGTTATGAAGAGATTGGATCAAAGAAGACCTGTGAGTCAGCTGCCAGGTCTACCTACCTAGCCAATACGTTACAGTGCTAACCGAATTACCACTACAGACGTCACCGGTCCCGCCGACGCCAAGAAGGCCATCGTCGTCACTTTCGATATCTTTGGATTCTTCCCCCAGACGCTCCAGGGAGCCGATATTCTGGCCACCAGCGGCGCCGAGAAGTACCGCGTCTTCATCCCTGACTGGTTCGCTGGCGAGCCCTGCCCCATCGAGTGGTTCCCCCCCGACACCGAGGAGAAGCAGAAGAACCTCGGCGGTTTCTTCCAGAAGTTTCCGCCTCCCAAGATTGCCGAGCAGACCCCGGACTACGTCAAGGCCATCCAGTCAAAGTACTCATCCATTGAGTCTTTTGCTACCATTGGCGTAAGTGTCTCTCCAGCCTACCTCAGTACAGAGTAATTGGGTAGACGCTAACAAAATCGCAGTACTGCTGGGGCGGGAAGGTCGTTTCACTCGTGACCTCGGGTGACAAGAACCCCTTTAAGGTCGCCGCCGAGGTCCATCCCGCCATGGTCGAGCCCGAGGATGCCAAGGGCATCAAGATCCCACTCATTATGCTCGCTTCCAAGGACGAGCCCGAGGAGGATGTCAAGAAGTTCGAGGCCAACCTCAACGTGACTAAGCACGTTGAGACTTTCAAGGACCAGATTCACGGATGGATGGCCGCTCGCTCTGACTTGGAGGATTCCAGAGTCAAGGAGGAGTACACTCGTGGATATAAGACAGTCCTTGAGTTCTTTGGAAAGAACTTCTAAGGTTGCGTGTGGATCGTAATAATCACGAATGAGTTATGAATCGTCGAGGGCACAAACTGAGATGGTTTGACGGGGGCTTCGATGAGCATGCGCTTCATGATGAGCCGTTCGCCATTCTATCAGAGAAACCAGGACCACAAGCCTCTTCTATGGGACGTGGCTAATGAAGAAGAAGACTATCTCGATATTACAACAGCCGACCTTTGTGATAAGACCACCTGTAAATTCCCTCTTTCACGTTAATTTCCATAAATCTCCACAGATTGCTTGACAGTATTTCCACGTTCTCGCATTGATTCTGTCCCCACACAGCTCCACACTCTCTGAGTGACATGAAAATTGACAACCTTCCTTTCTCAGCTGCATACAACATAGCATCCTTCCCATTGAACTCCCCATTGATACTCACGCCCTCGCGAGTGAGCAGACACCGGGAAAGTCCCACGAAATTGTGATCGATCGCCTGAATCAGAGCTTGTTGTATGCCAAGGCAGTCATGGTCGGCCTTGGGGTCATCCGATATCATTCTCACAACCTCTGTGTTGGATCTGCGCCAGGGAGCTCCCTTCATTGCATACCACAAAACCGTTCGGCCGCTGTGGTCCTTCGAGTTCAAGTCCAGATTTGTCAGCTCTAGGATCATCTTGAAAGCTTCCGCTGATCCATGGCTTGCAGCATAACATAGCAGCGTTGCCCCTAAGTCGTCCTCTGAGCACATGTCAAAACCATGCTGACAAAACATATCAATGATGGCAAGATCAAATTTATGACGAGCGTAAAGCCATATAGCACCGGCGCTGCCCCCAATGTCTGGGCTGGCGCCGTGTGCCAGGAGAGTCCGGATGATTTGGTCCTTTGTGTCTTCCGCTGCGCATGCCCAAGCTAAGGGGGTTCGACCACCTTTATCCGGGACGTCAACCTTGGTACCTCTCTTCAAGAGAAGTTGCACAGTCGCGAGATTGCCGCATCCTGCTGCCCATGATAATGCGGTCCGTCCTTTCTTATCTGCAGCTTCAATGTCGGCATTATGGTCAAGAATAAGTTCTACAACCGCCATGTTGCTCCCGACAGCAGCCTGTAGTAAAGGGCGCTTTCCCCAAGTTGATTCGACCTCTGCCTCGACATTGTTCTCTAACAGGAAACGAAGAGCTGGGATATTTCTAGAGACGATGGCCCAGTATGTCGGGGTCTTGCCCTTGTGGTCTCGGGCTCCGATGTCCGCTCCCATCTCTACGAGCAGTTTAAGAGCGGATATAACGCTTTCCTCTACATCAATTGATGGGGGGCTTTCAACATTCGGTTCTTGACTGATCAAGTCGTGTCTTTCAGTAATGACTGCGCGGTTGATGAGCGCAGATAGAGCTGACCCTTTGCCCGTCATGCCGGCCACTGATGTGAGAATCTTCTCACCTGCATCCCGTGTACTGACGCAAGTCCCTTCTGTCATAAGAAATCTGAATGTTGAGTGTAATCCCATAAGAGCGGGCGCGCAAAGTATCTTTCCCATGTTATTCGACATGTCGAGGTTGGCCCCTAGCTTCAGAAGCAGCCTCAACGTCTCGGCGAGCCCTTGATCCAATAGTGATATCTCACTAGAATCAAAGCTTTCTCCTCTGGAAAGGAGTATTAATAGCTCGTCAAGCATGAAATTCAATGGAATGGGTCGAATTTCGTTCGCTGATGTTGAGACGGCTGAAAGATAGTTCAAGTAGTCCTGTGAGTCCGAGTATTTTGAGTATCTCAAAGAGTTCAGGCATACCAATACAACAAGTGAATATCCAAGTCTTTGGCGGCCTAGGAAATAGACAATTATCCTCCAGCAAATTTTAGTCACGGAGGGTTCTTTGGTAAACATAATTCCGTCGCGGTACTGCGTGGGTCGGTTCCACGAGTAGAATCTGGTTTCATATACCTCGTTGAGCCAATTGACATCCTTCTGGCTGATAGGCTGTGAGAAGATGCATGACTCCTTGTCCTGCTCAGGATCCCCATTGAGCCTTCGCTCAGCGGAGAACCCGATGAAAGCATCTAGCACAGCCGCGTGTTTTTTCTCTATAGCTACTCGCATGCATTCTCGGAAACACTGAATCGATACTTTTCTCTTGAAAGTTTCAGTGCATGGTGAATGTGATTCAAGCGGGGTGTGCTCGATGGCGTCGCTGTCGAGGTAAAACTTGACAACATCTAACCGATTTGCGAAGGCAGCCCACCACAACGCGGTTTTACCACTTTCGTCAACCGAGTACATGTCGATTTCCGGGAGAGTATAGTTGGTGAACAATTGGAGAATCCCGAAATATGCTGCCACTTGTGCCGACGTGCGAGGGATAGATGGCATCCAACGTAGTTGTCCCAGCACCGAAGCGGATCTATTACGTGCGTCTTGGTTCCGAAGAAACCCAACTACTTCTGTCGGGATAATCGAGCTCTCTCGTGTGTGTTCCCCCCAGTATAGAGTTGCATAGTCGAAGAATGGAGCGGACTTGTATCTGCGACTTTGCAAATGTCGCCGTTCGAACTTGAACTCGAAGTCGGAGTCGGAGTCAGAGTCTCCGGAGGGCTTGTAAACATTCTTGATCGAAAGGTAATTGGTACATGCGATTGCGATTTGAGAGTCAATATCTGGGAAAAACTGATGTCTTTTCCTCTCGAAGTACTCTTGTGTTGTCTGGTGAACAAGTTGTATCACGCGACCCCTTCGCTCACTGACTGTTACAAGTCCAGCACATACAGAGATCATGGTTTCGACTGGTATGATGTTGTCCTGGTCTATATCCGTTTCTCCCTCTTCGACAGCGAGGGCATGCTGCAGCTCTTCGATTGTAAGAGGCCTCTTGGCGCCTGTTGTCCAAGAGAGAACGTTCAGCGCGAGCTCAACGTGCTCAGAGGGTTGAGACCTAATCCGATTCATGGCCTCATTGTATACGGCTGAGTAGATGTTTGCCTTTTCACTCGTTTCTCCAAAGACTTTGAGTGCCTTCTTGAGCTCCTTCGGGCTCAGCTTGTTAGACCAAGCATCGATGAGCAGTCTCGCCAACAGGAACCTATGTGCGTCAGCACCGTTTTCATGACGGTAGATACAGAGGTAGAGCTTGGAAACTTACATTCCGTTAACCTTTTCTGCAATGGTGTGTCTGATTTCCTTCTGTAAATCAAGGTTGTTGCGAACAAAGCTCTGCATGCGGGTCATACGATCTGACGTGTATCTTAGTACGTCCTCCTGAATAGCCCTGATTTCTACAGAGATAGAATTCTCAAATTCCTTCGACTCCAAGATCTCAGGAATTTCTCTGGTGGTTGCAAAAATATTGACTTGAGATCTTTGTTGTAGCCGGAGGATTTCTGGAAGAAAAGCTTGTCGAGCGTTTCTATCACACTCATCCAAGGCGTCAACAACGATGAATATACTTTCGTAGCAGGAGGATAAGACCTGGAGCAGATCGATGGTCTCTTGAGTAGATCTTGAGGTATTCCGCTTCTGGTGTTTGTCGTAGAGCGTCTCAAGACTTTGAGGGAATTCAGAGCAGGATTGCGCCAGCTGCTTCGCTAGACTAGACAAGAGATCGTGGCAATCTTGGCGTTCGGTGTCCTTGAAGTTGCAGTAAACGTAGGCTATCCCGACCCTCGGTTCCTCACGGAACCGTTGTGTCAAATGGTCTATGACGACGGAAGTCATGATGGTCTTGCCGGCCCCTGGCATCCCATGGCACAGCAGAGTCTGGCCTCTGTTTGCTACCCATTCAAATTCCTTGGACTCTAGTAGCCAGGATGCTGTTTCTGGGTGCCTTGTGGAGAAGTAATCTCGTTGTTGTGATGAATAGTTGGATGGCGTCAGCCACTCCAAGATTTCCTGTTGACGTTTGCTGACTTGCTCATGGTGCATCGAATCCACCGCTTGCTTTGTGCTTTGTATGACTCGACTGTGGAGCGTCGTCAGCCGCTCCCGTACTGATAAAGAGTGCACAGATTCGTACTGACCTATCTGACGCGCTCTTGAGGGTATTCAGTAGTGTGATTTTGATGGAGAGACTTGATTGAATGCCGTCGATCACTTTTGGGTCGAGCTGTAACCGTTGGAGAAACTGCAAAAGCTTCGACTTGTCCCACCTTCTCTTTTCGAGGGGCTTGTTGAGTTCCTTGCAATCATCCAAGACTTTTTTCAATCTCTTAAGGTCCTTGTAGGAACCTTCGATGATGTTCTCCAGTATCTTTTGGTCTTCATCATTGAGATTCTGCTGTGGGCAACGGGCTTCTTCGAGAAGCGGTTTGATGATCTCCACGCTATTACTGGCTGTTATTAAAGACTTCTCTGACGGATAGACGAAGAGGAAATTCCGGAAGCATACTTCCTAACTAGAGAGACAAACAGCTCAGGCGCCTCAGAAAATCTGTCGTGGCAGTGTCTCAACTTGTCTATGACAGCGATGAAATCGCCGACACCAAACCCGAAACTCATCTTGGACGAATTTATCCGCAGATTTACGTAGGCACATGAAATCGAAGCAAAGAAAGGAACGAGGATGACAAGGAGGACGAGGGAGCAACTGGGAGATTTAAGGAAGCGATGTCAATGGGAGACATTCCTGCACACCTGATTGGGCGTAACGTTGACCTCCAGCTGCGTCAATGTAGCTATGCAGGCTACGAAGTGGCTGCAATACTCCCCAACAGAGGTTTGAGATCAGATTGGTTTGCCTGCAACCCACGTTTCTGTGGCTGGACAGGTGTGGGAGGCTATGCCAGACCGGCTGCAGCAAATTAGGCGTCGACACGCTTACCTATTCCTGCCTGAAATTTCATACTCTTTTGAGGGCGCAGGCTCACGCGCGTATTGTGGCCGTCTGGCCGACCAGTAATTCACTTTAGATACCTATGTCACCCCCCGACCGGCTCTGGGCCCTGTCTTCGCCTAAAGACCGAGCATACAGCCGTTTCACAACGCCTGGTGAAGAAAGGGACCAGACCTACGAAAGGAAACAGATATCAAGAAAGAAATGTGAATAGCCGAGGGCTACGAATTCTGTTGTAGGATTTCAGTGAAAGACAAATTGGCAAGAGGCCAACCGTTTCTAGGACAAGCCTGGACATCAATACTTTAGTATTCTGGTTGCTCTTGCGATGACGAATACGAGACAATCGAACTGGGCATATTTCATTTGCCAGTGAGTATTTTATCTTAAGATTTGGAATTTGGAGTTGCTAGCACATGTACAGGTCAATAGGGCAATGCAACATTGTAGCTGACACGACGCTCGATGATAGGGAAGGCTGAGGGAGACCTTCGTAATTGCGAGTCGCTTGATCATCTCTTCTAGATCTGATAGAAAAAAAAACACACCCAGACTCGACAAAGAGCTCCTCTGTGTCTTCTGCCAGAGGAAGTGGGTAGCTGAGACAGATAAATCCCATTTTTGAAGCAGAGATTCGCCGAAGTTTTTGAAACTTATTGGTGAACTTGCGAGGAAGGACCTGCGAGCTGCAAAGCTGCAAGAAAGCTCTGGGCCCTTGCTTCCCAAAATCTCCTATGTAAGTGTATGGCGTCTACTGCATGTTCTCCTTGCCTACCTCCTAGGGCCATAGGCTTAGCAAAGCTTTAGAGAAGTGCTCCTCTCATCAAGCTCTATCGGAGTAAGGGAAAATAACTCAGTGATTTCCCACCTCTGTGGTATGGATATTCCACTACATGGGTGTTGATCTCCTCTCCTTCATGCTGTTATTTGTAGAGACATACCGTAAAAGGGAACGCTCAAGCTGGAGTAATTGTCAACAGTGATATTGAAGATCCTAAATTCAGTCTATGATACGAGCATAGCACCATCGCCCTTCAACCCACCTTCTCCTCCGCCTCGGAGAAACAACCTCAAACCCCTTCCCCTGAACCACCGTGATCCCAGCACCATACTTCAACAACACCCCAAGCACCCCGACATCCTTCCACCCCAAAGCATACGCAACAGCAGTACGTCCCCTCCCATCTCGACGATTCACATCAACATCGCCCCTACCACACAAAAACTCCACAAGATCCGCAGCCCCAGCCGCAGCAGCAAGATGCAGCAACCCCCTCCCCTCCCCATCGACATCTTCAACCCTCACCCTCTCGTCCTCAAGAAGCACAAACAATGTATCCGTATCAGGCACAAAGATCCGACCGGACTTGATCCACGCGCAGAGGGCATACCACACCGGCGCCCGAAGATCCCCGTCTTTGAGGTTGACGTCTGCGCCCGGGACCGCCATCAACAAGCGAGCCATCGCCGGGTCCGTCGTTTCCGCGGCGTATGAGATCGCTGTTCGACCGCTCGCGTCGGATAGGTTGATATCGGCTTCGTGGTCGAGGAGTGACTTGACTGCGTCCTTGTTTCCGCGCCGGGCGTGTTCGCAGAGGGGAAGGGTTCCTTGGGCGGATAACGTGTTTGGGTTCGCTCCCTGTTGTAAAAGATCCCGTATTTCACTCAGGGATCCCTGGGCAGTGATTTCGTGTAGTTTTCTGTCCAGGTCGGTCTCTGCTCTCGAAGCGTTTACGGTGATCGGTTCTCGCTCAACGGTACCTGTACCTTGTGTATCGAGAGACGCTTCGGTCGTGGCGTCGCCAACGTCGACCCATCCCTGGTCGATAGCCTCACGAGGCTTGGGATCCATCAAGACCTCCTTGCTGATTTCGCCGGAGCCAGAAGATTTGCGATTGTCCACAGGTTCCTGAAGCTGTCTGTCCAACATGGCATCTACGCCGGAACCGTACACCTCAGGCTTCACCGCGAGAGCAACCTCAGCCAACTCGCGCCGCCGCGCCTCCGTTTCCCGAATTTCGGGCCTGGTATTGACTTCACGAACCATCGTCGGTACTGCTGAAAAGGGAAGACAGAAAGGTCAGATAGATTCAGTAAAAGTTCGTCCGCCTTTGAGGGAATCTACCACTGGCCTACCTGTTGCTGGTATACTATCCTTTGTACCGAAGTCGGAATACGCGCTCGATCTAAGACGTCTGGCAAAGAAGAGACGACAAATTGCTAGATGACACTCCTCAACGTCGTCAGCACGGCTTTTGTTGAGCCGACAGAAAACGCCAGCCTCGCCAATACCTGACACGCCCACACATACACCCAAGAAAAGCCAACCCGCGGGACGGACGCATACGCACCAGCCTATTACAAGGCAACCGAGACCAACCCAACTCTCTAACCCTTTTGCAACCCCCTGAAGCCTTGCAATTCGCCCATCCATTGCGCCCAAGAGTGCAGATCTCACTGGTGCAAAGGTGGTTACACACCAGGCAGCTATGTGAACTTGTTCCTGCGTCACAAGGTCAGGCGCGGGGGAATGTGTATGTGAGGTGGGCACATCGCCCAGCTTTCGGCTGCTAGGTCAAGTAATGTATAACTTCCATGGAAGACTCTCTCCTCGACCAGCAGATTAGCGTTCTTGGAGTGTGCTCAGAATTACAGCTACCCATTCAAGTCGTGTGGGAATAATCGCTCTTGTACCTGACTCCTGATGAGATTGACGTAGCCATCCTCGTTTAATCTGGTCCTTGCTTCATCGTCACGTTCAAGTCCAAACAATGTATGGATCTGGGGGCAATTTTCATTTTTTTTCATACATCAATTGGCTTTCGAAACAGCCAACCGCATCCATTAGCTAAGTTATCTCATGCAACCATCTGTCTGCCGTTGTCGCATAACGCGACCAAATCGAACGCCAAAACCTCGCCAGTCCCTAGTATGCTACCGTCCCGGAATGAAAAGAAGTGAGAAAAAGAAGATAGTTACACAAGCAGCAAAGAAACCCTCCTATGCTCAAGATGTGAGGAAGAAGAAAAAAACCAAACCACAAGACCGAGGTCACGTCCGCCGGCTTGTCAACTAGGCAACCAGGGATTGGGGCTCGGACTTCTCGCAGGTAAAGAGGTTGACGTGGTAGTCTCCACGAGCAGCGCAAGCCAAGATCGGCTTGTGCGGGTGGAAGGCAGTTGCTGCGATGGGAGAGCCCCTGTTCTGTTGAAGGAAGCTTGAGTACGGTTCGACACGGGACAACTCTTGACCGTCGAAGTTGAAGACCTTCACGGCATGTGCAGATGTACCACTGCAATGGGATGTTAGTTTCAATATCACAATATTAAGAGGTCCAGGGTGATAACTTACACAGCAAACACCGGCAGATGTTCATGCGTGCTGGCTGTTCGCAGGGTGTCTCGAGTTGTTTGGTAAACATGGAGAGGTCGATCCATGCGAATATCCCACAGTTTGACCTTTCCGTTTCTGCTTGCGCTGAGCAGTTCTCGTTGTCCGCCGCGCTGCAAATGAACGCTCTTGATCCATTGCCTATCCGTTTCGTCTTTCCACTTCTTGATCATGGAGTCCTGGGGTCTGATACGGGTGTCGAAAACGCGGACAGCGCCGTCGCCGAACCCTGCCACAACTGTGTGACCGGTCATCTGGTCAGATGTCAAAGACGTGACGCAAGAGCCAGACCGGGCGGGAATGTCAATGACGCATTTCTCAGCGCCAGCAGACCACACCCGAATGACACGCACATCGCCAGCCACAAGTACGCGGCCGAGCGACTGCTGCCAGTCGAACACCATACCGGAGTTGACGTTACTGGGCACCATGTGTGTAAGTGCTCGCCAAGACGAGGCTAGGTTGATGGATTTGTCGGAATCGTAATTTTGGTAGATTCTGAGGACTCCATCTGACGAACCAGTCATCAGGAATGCCTGGTCGTCCTCATTGATGAACTTCATATCACTGATCCTCGACCCTTCAGGATTTCCGTTGGAAAACTTGCTCAGCCGTGCATGCTTCTTCCAATCCCAAACGCACACCGTGTTACCATCGTCTGCAACCGCAAGCTGGTCTTCAAACTGGTGGAAGGTGAGTTTGGCAGGTTGCGAGCCATTGTTGGTGATGCCCAACTGATTGTTCCACTTATGGCTACCGGCGAACTGCTTGAGTGGTTGCGTTTCTGTCAAGATGAAATCGTTCCGGGATCTTCTCCAGAGCCGTTCGTTATACTCAGTGCTGCCAGGCTCGTCCGACTCGCTCGGCTTCATCTGAGGCTCGCAGAAGTATTCAATAGACCACTCTAGGAAAGAACTTTGCAGTGGCATGGCTGGTGCTTCGCCCAGCTTACGATCCTCAAATCCAGTGGAGACAGGCTCTTTGGCAATGTGATAATTGGCATGGATAGCCGTTGGATCGCTCTGTTCTGGTGGCGCTTCAGCAAGCTCAGGGGCCTTGATCTTCTGGGAGCCAACCCTATGCAGACCGGGTGATGGTGCCGGAGAAGAGTAGTTCGGCTTTTCGCTGGCATCGGCCTTTCCATCATTGCCGAATAGTGGCAGCTGGAAAAGCAAGCTTGCCGTGCGACGCAACAGGCCAGGAGATGGCAGTGGTGGAGTAGCCAAAGAGTTAGAAACGCCAATCGCATTACTTCTTTGGCTCAAGTGCAAGTGATTCTTTGTCGACGCACGCTTTGCCCTCTTTCGGATGTCATCGATGAGGCTCTGCGCATGCTCACCAACAGCCGAAGCCATCACGGCTTGGTGGACATGGTCCACAATTACTGTAGCGTCACGCTGAACCTCAGGATGAGGATCAACATTGAGCATCAGAGCGTGCTTCCAGCAGGCTGAGAAGACGGTATTGTGAGCAAAACCGTGAACATTGGGCTTGATGGTGCCGTCTGCATTTCTGTTCTCTTTCCGTGCATAATGCAGGCCCATCTTGTGGTCCATGCCATCCTGGCCAGGAGGGAACAGGAGATATTCCCTTTCTTCTTGAAGCTGTTCATAAGCAGCGACAATGAACTTGCTCTCAAAGCGAAGAATAAACCTTGACAGGAAGACAAGGAACTCGCGACGGACCATTGGACTTCCGTCGTTGGCCATGTCTAGAAGTGTCCAAGCGATGGATTCTTCGATCCGAGCGACCTCATCCGTCAGGTCGATGATGCCAAGGAAAGTAGTCATGGAATACACCATGGCAGCTCGGACTTCAGGAACAGGATCCTTTGTCAGAAATGACAACTTGGCTGGCGCATTCTCTCGAATGCCACGCCATTTAGCCTCTGGGAGTTCCTGCCACAGCTGACTGATGCACAGACACGACCACTGACGCAGGAGCGGATTCTCTTGATTCTGCAGGTGCATTAAGCAGTAGGTCATTATGTCGGTTTGGTTGCACACATGCTGCCCTGGCTTATAATCCTTGCAGAGCATCGATAGAATGAAAGCGCACATCGCCTTATGCTCAGCTTCGTTAACGACTGGCAAGCCCTCGGACGGCTTCAATATCTGGGCAAAGTAGTTGTATCCGCTGTCCTTGATAAGGTCCTGCTGGCATGAGATATCCACAGCCAGAATGCGGGTCCAAATGAAGATCATGACCGGCTTCAGCTCTGCGGCAGCGGACTGCAACAACTTGAGGACATATGGGAAGATGCCTATGCTCAGGGCAAGCTGGACTGCCCAGGGGCCTAAGTCGAGGAATCTTCCGAGCAAGATGAGCGCTCTGACTCTGTGCTGTTGGCTCAGCAGAACTTGCAGCACCACTGGAAGCTGCTCAGGGGGCCTCTGAGAAAGTGCATCGCCACGAGTCAGGTAAACGTCGAATGCTGTCAGTTGTTCAGTGAAAAAGGTTGAGTTCTGGTACTCGTACTCGAGACCTTCGTTCTCCTTTCTCTCCAGCATAGGCAGTTGGGCTAGTGCCATATCCACGGCCAAGTCCCAGCTTGCCCACAATGGGTGCTGCCGGGTCTCAGGGAGCTCGGGGAAAGACTGCGGATGGCACCCATAGACAGACATGATTCTCTGGGCTAGGAGAAAGTTGCGGAAGAGAGCGGCCACCATGAGATCCTGCCTGAAAAACTTTCGGAATAGGTGTCGGGGCAGTGTAGTCCAAGCGATAGTATCCGTGATGGCTGTGAAGATCCAGTTCAACTCGCCGAGTGGCGTTCTTCTCTCCTGTAGCCTACCGGGCAGCTTCTTGGCGCGCTCTGGGGTAAGATTCGTCTTGAGGGGGTTTTGAAGAACGAAGAACCAAAGAGCCATTTCGATAGGGGTAGTGAGACATGCCGTGAATAGATCGGCTGGGAGGAGAGGGTTGGTAGGGAGATTCTCCTTGACGCCGCAGGCAGCTAAGTGGATATAGGGCTGAAACACGGTCTTCTCGTAGTTGGGATCTCTCGCGGCAGCTTCGTCCTCTTCTTGTTCGTGCTTCTCGACAAATCTGTGGTAGTTGTTGAGGATGTTGCCGGCTTCGGAACAGTCCCAGACGTAAATCGTAGGGGCGTGAAGCCACTGTTGAAGATCGTATAGCGATACTGGGATGTACTGAGTGTAATTCTTATTAAAAACCCAGATCTCTCCACTGGCAGTGGGCTTCGGCACGCCGTGGCCATTGTAATGAAGAAGAACCCGCTCATCCTTGGCGTTTCTACGCAGGGACTGGCAGAACTTTTTGGTCTCTTCCACCGACGGATCGAGGTACTGCTTATATCTTGTGCGTATAGCCAGTGTCTCGTACTGCGCCTGGAGGGCTTTGCCGATGTTCTCGAGGGCCTTCTGAGGTGGCGGCGTTGTAGGGTCTGTCCATGCTTCCAGTTTGGCGCCCGGGTTCGTCTTAAGCTGGTCGGGAGGCTCGACTGAAATATTAAGGCAGACGGCCAGCGCAGCAGATACTGTCTTAAGTCTATCTCGCATGCGCCAATCCTGCAGCTTGTGTAATGTCGCCTTGGGCTTGCCGGTTGTCTCGTGTCGCTTGTCGGTCCAATACATGTACCAATTCTGGAGAAAGGAGTCAGCACGGCTCAAGATGCGAGTTGAAACCAACGAGTCC